TTTTAATATTGCCACATTTTGTTAATAACAATCAATATAAATTATTAGGATTTAGTTAGGGTTTAGAATTAATAGGGGTGTAGCAATATCAAAAAAGGGTGTAGAAATATTAATTTTCTAAAAATATTGGTTATTATTAGAGTTGCTGGTGAAACTGGTGAAACTTGGTGAAATTTGGTAAAATTAGTGACTATCTAAAATCTGATTGGCCATTGCATTAAATAGCCAATCAGATTTTAGATAGTCATCAGTTTCACCAGCACAATTTAGTTTCACTAGCTTAATTTAGTTTCACCAGCTCAATTTAGTTTCATCAGCACAATTTAGTTTTACTAGCAACTCAAATTATTATATATTGATCAAATTTATAACATTCTTTTGAAGCTATGTATTATATACAGTGCATATTTATTGCCTTTAAATTTTTTAAATTGTATATAGATATTGGTTAAATTTGTAAAGTTATATTGGAACTATTATATACTTACTATTTATAAGTCTTTTATAAGATATATTTTAAATATAATAAATATGAAAAAGTATAAATTGTAACTAGTTTATAATTAAAACATAAAAATTATGTGGCTATAAAATAAAATAATCAAAAAAAGTCATTAATATTATAGAACTTTTTTTTTTGTTAAACCTTTTTTTATCTGGTTTTTGTCATTTTAAAAATAATAAAATAGGATATGATGACTTGGTGTAGTTGATAAGTTGTTGCACCTCCAAGCAGCAGGCTTAGAGTCCGAATTTCAACTATAATAAAATTTAGAAAATATATCTGTATTACAGCAACTGCTTCTGTCACATGGGGTTAGACACCTATAATGTAGTCATATTAACTTGTTTGAAAGATCAGAAGCACTTGTATTATATAGAGGAATACAAACCATTATTGGGCAGTGCAAATCTAAGATAAGTCCTTTGGTCGTTTATAGAAATCTGTATATATAAAAAGGTTGTAGAAGCCTGTTTGAGAAGACCCAAGTAAGAAAATAGTAAAGATTTTTGATGATACTGCAGAAAAGCTGATACTGGAGACCGAAAAACTAGACAAAAAGATCCTGAGACAAGAAGGATCCATCAATCTGCACAGGTTGAAGACATAAATATCAGATATCTGATATTTAGTGATTGCTAACTATTAGTACCAAAAATCTGATTTATGTATATTAGCAATATATAAGAAAATATCAGAAGCATAGCAGGTTAAAAATAAATATCAGGTATTTTGATATTTATTTTATATTTATTTTTAACCCGGTATGATTCTGATATTTTTTTTTATATATTATCAATATAGATCAGATTTTTGGCATTAATAATTGGTAAATATCAGGTATACAATATTTATATCTTCAACCTGTGCTAGCCACCAGAAGCACATTAAGGAAAAGATTCTATGTTATAAAATTAGAAACCAAGAGAAGTATAATCAAAAAGCACTTAAAGCCTAGGTATAATAATCCATCCGGGCTAATTGGTTTGGTAGTTAAGAAAACATTAGTAATAAAACTGATCAAATGTGGTATTAGGATCAGAATAAACCTTGTAAGAGTATAAATACTGGAATTGCGTAGTTTAACGATTAGCACTGACTGCTAGTAGTAGTTTCAGCTGCTGCAGAAGATATTTAAAGCTTAATTTGAAAATATATTAAACAAAATATTTACTATAGCACCTGTGGAGACCCATTGATAACTAGAATAAATTAGTTTAGAGAAAAGAATAGTAGAATGCACTTCAGTATAAAGGTATCTAATGTAAATAATAAAATATGAACCCATATGGGCAATGACAAAATATTAATAAAGCTTGGTCCTGAAGAACACTTTAACAGAAAAAAAATAACAAGATCATTAAAAACAGCCTAGTGAAGCAGTTATAATAACTATTCAAAGTTGAAGAGATTTGCTGTTTAATCTACAAAATATAAAATTTGTATAATAAATATTAACTAAACTTTGAGATTCTATTGTGCCAGATCCACTGTGCAGTTTTGAATGATTCTACAATCTTTAAAATCACAAAGATTGAATAAAAAACTTAATTAAAAAGCTATACAAGTTTGCATAATATTAAAATCTCTTTTTAATCATTTACTAAAATTTTATTATATAATTAATAATTTTTAGTTTAATATTTTTTAGTTTGATAAATTTAAAAATAGTTTTTGGTTAAAACTTTAACTTTAAAATGATTTTGTAATTGTTTTAATTATAATATTGCTTAAAGTACTCAAAAAAAATGATGATCCCTTAGTCAACAACAAAAAAACTAAACTACAGAAAAATGCTATAAGAAAACAACAAAGTAGACACGATGATACACTTGGTCTATACAAACAAACTTGCTATTTATGAAGCTACCATATATATAAAACACCAAGAAGCAGATATATAATAAAGAGCAGGTTGTAACTTTGGGTCAAGCTTTTAGTGGACTTTCTTGCACTTTCGATATCCAAACCAGAAGGGTTATTCTAGAAGCAACATCCATAGGTCCCTGATCTAGAATATCTAGTAGAAATTGAGGAACTGAACTATATAACTATAAAACTTACAAGAAGAACCTAACATATTTTCATTGGCCACCACTTTTTTTCAAAGAATTTTTTGTATAAAGTGATAATTTAGTTTATTTTCTCTAAAAGATTGACATCACGTGCACCAAAACAGTTGCATTGTTTATTTTCTATATCAGTATAACAGGATAACAAACACATCAAAGTACATGCCTCAAATGTAAAGGCTGATCAAACAATGCTCTGAGACTAATCTGAATTGAGTACTGACCTCCCTACCTAATCTAGTTGAAGAAGTGTTTATTCAACAATGTTTTAAATTTAGATATACTAAATAGATAAATTTAAAGTAGGAATATAATTAATTTAGTATAGTATATAATTTTTAAGGCCATTCACGGGCCTATAAACATGATATTAGGATAATCATTCTTTTTGTTTTTGTTCTGATACTTCCTTTACATCTTACTTTCTTACTTGTATCTTTTATTGTTATCCTCTATACCTCTGTGTTTTTTTTGTCTATTTCTTTTTCTTTTGTTGGGCTTCTTAATAAAGTGTGCAGCTGCTCCAGCTAGTGATTGTTGGAATTAAATTCTCAAAGAGTTGAGGATCCAACGTGAAGTATAATGCTACTAGGCAGGTCACACCTGGGCCTTAGTGCTGAGTGAATCTCTTAGCACAATAGGATATACTATAGAAAATTGTATTTTCTGTTAATTTTGATCTTCTAATACTTCTAATAAAGCATGAGACAGGACCACCAAATATAAAAAAATATATATATTGTTTAAAGTATTTAATTTTAGTATAAAATTTTAATTTATATTTGATTTTTTTATTTAAATCATTAATATTATACAACAATTAACATTGTACTAACTAAATTAAGAAAATCATTAATATCATTCAATAACCACTACACATAATTTCATGCATTTTTTGTAAATAATACTAGTCACATTATTGTATAAGATATAGATCTATATGCTTGTATAATATCATTTTGTAATAAGACATTTTAACTAATTTTACTTTGCAGCAAGCAAAGTCAATTTGCATAATAGTGATTTTGAAATTGTCAAGTCTGTTACTTTCATTAGTAATAAATTATTAGATAGAAAAAAAATTTTTAAATTTTGTAGTCAATAGAATAAAAATTATTACTATTTTAAAAAAAAGAGTTTACCTTTTAAAATAAAAGTATATATTAGTTAATTAGGATAGCTGTGCAGCGTGTGATGCGGCGCAGGACCAGTACGATCACGTACACCATTGTGAAAAGCTCAAGGAGATCAATTTATCTATTCTCTTTTTTTTGTGTTTTCTTCTATTATTAGTTTCTATTTGATTCTATACTATGCTAACTAGTACCATTTAATTTCATTAATAAACTTACCAGCCTAAGAAATTTTTTGCCAAATAATAAACATATAATTTGATAGTTCATCATTTTGATATCAATCACGCTTTAAAATTAGATTACATCTGCATCCTATTATATATGACTGGAAATTTCCTATGAAAGATTCCTAATTATGATGAGTTCTATGTAAGGTAGTATAGTCAAGTTAATAAATTTAGTAATGTATGATTGGACTGGAGTAGAGAAGAATGGAGTAGAAGATCTTAGAGCTATATACTTTGAAATTTTGCCGATGTCCTGCCCCAGCCCCTGAATTATTTCAAAATTTAGGCCACCTGGTTAATGTTGTTAGACAAAACCTTTTTGCAAAATGACAAAAGACGAAATCTACCCTCTCAAATAACAAAACCTCTGGCGAAACTGAAAACTTGCGAAATCTGCGAAACCTCTATAAAGACAAATTTCTTATAGATGACAAAATTTCTAATAAGATTTAAAGCTCTTTACAAGAATAAAGCCTCCGATAAAAGATAAAGTCTTAAAGGCTATGTTATTATTTGATGTAAAGATAATTTTGGAATAATTTTTGATTAAAAATTGATTATTGCTAAGATATGAAGCCATTGTTTGGATGCAAAGTTATTGTTTAGATGTGAAATGATTTGTATATAAATATTAAACCTCAAAAAGAAAATTATGATAAATTTTATCTTAATTCCATCCCAAAATATAAACGAAACTATTATTTTTTTAGAAAATATTAAAGAGATAAAAAAAAATGCTATAAAGTAATATAAACCAAACTAACTTCATGATCTAATACAGATAAACTATATAATATTATTCATCAGTGCGAATAAAATACTTCTTTGATTTTATTAATATAAATTAAAGGATCCTAATTTTGTTATACAAAACAAGAGATGTAAATGAAGTTGATTTTCTAAAACTATTGTATTAGAGCTAACTGTTCTAAAATTAATTATACATTATATTCCATTGGACATATTAAAGTTACCATGTGCACATTCAGTTTTGTTTTCTTCACATTTTAAACGCATCAGATATTCCACAGAAAAACAGGCTTTCCAACTTCTCTCTTCATCTTCACCATTTGTCTGCAGAATTACCTTTCTTGAGTTTCATAGCGTCTACTTCTCTCTTTGTGGTCTGCGAAGATTGCATTTCCAGAGGCGGGAGGCAGATACAAAATCGGTTTGGAGTGAACACTCCCAATGGATCATAATGTTTCTTGATGTTGCACAGTCGATCATACTTTCCTTCTGGTTGTTGGTCGTAATAATACTGCTGAGCAGCACTCAAGTCCAAATCGAAAGAACCCCACAAAAAGCGATGGTCTTGTTCGCAAAATGGGGACTCCGGATTTCCAACCTCTTCTTCGTTTCCTTGCTGCCACTTTATTGCCTGCTTATGAAGAAAAGCATGATAATATGCATCCAGCCCGTTAACAATGCGCGAATCTCGCCAACTGAATGATGTGGGACTGTTCTTTCCGTTTTGATAAAATCTTGAGTTGATACCACCAAAATGTTGAAATTGTGCAGTCAACTTTAAATTCCGCTTTGCCCCATCTTCGATTCGACCAGTAACCCAGTCCGTCCACCCGAACTTCTTGAGCCTCTGGGCACTGGAATTGGACGCATATACACGCTTGATGTACGGATATTTAAACTCCCGATTGATTGTAAAAATCCAATGACCGGTCAAAGTAGACATTGGTATGTGTTCTTTGTCACTGAATTGAATTAACCCTTTGCCGGCAACCTGCTGAATTTTATCGATGAAGGTTGAGTTGTAGTTTTGCTGATATCCTTGTAGATTGGCCCACTGCACAAAAACAAAAATCAGCGGGGGAAAACCATCCAATGATGAGCCATGATTATATATCATATCATAAGTTAATTCCTTAGTATTAAGCTTCGGCTCATCAATCACTGTGACACAATAGTCATAATCAGCTGGAAAATTTTCATCTTCGACCATTTCCACCATAATATCCAACAAGGCCTTGAGACGCTGGCGGCTGTATGGGTATACGGCTTTGAGACCTCGAGAGTTTGGATAGTCTTCGTCTCTATAGACATCAAGTGTGACATGAGTAAGCACCCCAAAATTTCCAGGACTACCACCCAATACTGCGAAAAACAAATCTTTGTCCTTGTCAATATTGCGACGAACCCACTGCACTTGACCATTAGCAGTAATAAAGCGGAATTTTATGACATGATCAGAGAGGAGCCCGAAACTTCTGCCTAACTGACCGTATCCTCCAGTTTGAATATGTCCACCCATATTGACGTACTGACATTGGCCATGTGGCACAAATCGATTTTTTTCCCTAAGTTTGGCATTGAACTCACCCAATGTGATGCTAATACCGAATGTCACCATTGTGTAATCCTCATCGTCCCATTTAAAATCCTTATATGTCTGGGATAAATCTAGCTGAATGTTTTTTCCATTTGTAGATGACGCGCCGCTAAATTGATGCCCTCCTGTGCGCACGGCCACAGCGATTTTTTTGCCTCTTGCGTATTTGATGGCTTTGATTACATCACTGTCGTCTGCTGCCTTTATAATAACCGCCGGTTGAATGATGCCCTCATTCAAATATGAGCTTGAAGCATATTGATAGCTTTGAGCCTCGTAGTCAGCATCGCCGTGTTTGATCACCTTGCCTTTGAACTCCGGAAATTGCTTTCCGTCCGCAGAACTGATATTTTTTCCGTCTGCTATTTAATTGCAAATTGTTAGAAATTGAATATTAAGGTAATGCTTGTATTAAATATAAATATAAAAAGGATCTATGCTAAAAAATTTCCGCATATAAGGCCATGCAAAGTTGATTTTTCGTTTAGCATTACCCGCCGACCCAAATTTTTCAAAATCCCTATTTTTTTTTTTTTTTTTTTTGGAGTTTCAATTACGCTAATTATTCCATTTTTGCTGTTTATTTTTTTCATCTTTTTTATCCGGTGTTTACCGACGGTGACCTTAATTTTCCGGAATTATCCGATAGGACACCAAGCTAAAACTATACTTCGGGCCTTTAAATTTATAATTTTACTGAACTAAAACATGTCTGCAACAAATAAACTCGTAAGCCCGTGGTCTGGTTTTCCTTTGGTAACGTTCATTTAAAAAAAAAAAATTGTAAAAAAAATCCAACCGACCGACCCAAATTTCAGATTCCATGTAATGCAAAACGAAAAATTAACTTTGCGTGGCCTAAACAGGTTATTCACGTAACATGATGAGAGTGTATAGAATTTGTCTATCAAATTCGTAAAATAATACAAAATTTCTACTTATCAAAAATTGAGAACGATTTTAGTATGTAAGTACAACAGTTTCGTATGACATCATGTACATCAACTTTTTTTTAATTTTTTTTGCCATTTTTTTTTATTTTTTTTATATGCCAATGGCCAAAAAATTGAGTGTATGATTTACACGAAACTATTGTACGTACGTACGTACGTATGAAATCATTCTCCATCAAGAAAAACATCAAAATTAAATTTTGTGTAATGTCACGAATTTGATTGGGATTTATACACATTTGTTGAATAAATTCCATGCGTAGTAATGTTATCCGCAAAAACACGTAGGTTTAATAGTGTCAACCTTTTAATCTGTGTACTGTATTTGCACGAAATAACGCCCAATGGCTGCACATAATATAAAGAGGGCTAAGAAATTAATTCAATCGAATGCGAAAAATAATTTTTCACCTAATGAAAATATCCTTAAATTATTTCTCAAATCTTACTAGTCGAAAACGATAAAATCAGTATATCATTTGATTGAAATAAGATTAATTGGCTGCAGAATGTGATGAATGTGTACTGGCTATCGTCGGCATTCTGCAAGAAACTTGCAAGCTCTGTCAATATTCGACCAGTTGGCCGACTGATTACTGGCAAAATGCCGACAAAAATCCGTATATATTTAGTACTTTCGGTATCCATTTAGTTTGATTTCAACTAGGATGATTTTTTCGTTTTTGCTAGTGTCTTATAACGCCCGAACGTTATTTTATATACAATTGAAAGTCGGACGCTGTTATTTATTGATTTCGATATATAATTATATTAATTTTCAATCTCTTTAAATTACACATCTTGAAATAACGCCCAGGGACGCTATTTCGAGATGATTTGGTAGTTGAAGAGAGCTAATAATTAATTTTAGCATAAGACTTTTTTATAACAAAAAATTATGACCCACAAATAAATTGATTACCTGTCACATGACGTCCCCAGGTAACTGCTACCTCGGTGTTAATAATAAAAAAAATTATACATATATATGTATATATGTGTTTCAAAATAATGGCCATGGTATTATTTTGGAATAATAGTTGTAATAAATTTGATTATAATTATTAAATTATGATGTTATGAGTATAAACGACTTCTGATAAATTTAAAATGCTAATTATCGTGATGTCACAATTGCGGTGTTACTACCGTTCCGGAAAGCGTTGGTTTTAATAAAGTCAGGTTAGCAAGCTTGAAAGTGAAATTGGACGAAGAAAAAGAATAAGAAAGAGAATGAAAAAAGTTGGGTACTTTATAAAAAAAGTTTATGGGAAAACTGGCGTAATGGAATAAATAAAAATGAGTTACTGTAATGCATAGATAATAAATAGAGAATAAATTATATGTAGGGAGGATTCGATTGATGTAATAAGTGGCGTGATTAAGATGTGATCAATAGTTGATTAATAAATTTACTAGCGTACCTCGCAATGAGATTGAATAAAAATAATTTGAAGAACGATCTAATTGTAACGGACTGTTATGCACCTTATTTGTAACAACTTACTTAGTTCAGCCAGTAAAAATAAATAACAATTCGTCCTAAACCCTAACTCTAACTACTGTACTATTAGCTAACTACGAGGGTGTTACATGTAACAGCTGTTACGAATATATTTTCCTTGGAAGATTATGAATACTTAAATAAATTTTAGATAACATCAGGAAATTTTAAAAGCTGATTAGAATCAATTAAAATCTAAGGATTTTAAACGATTTTCATTAGCACCGCCGATTAAAGCATTGTTTAGTTATGTAGGAGTGGCATTAACAAAAATGGGGGTGGCATTAACAAGTCTCTAAATAAAAAATATTAATTATAATCGATTTAGTTTAATCATTTTAAATTGCTTTTAAATCATTTTTTATATATGTTGATTCTTATTAATTTGATTTAAATCGATTACATCAGGAAGTATAATCTAATATATATTTAATGTAGAAAGCATCAAATTTATTAATTTATATGCCTTGATAATATCAAAATAGTATTATCAGTAATATTGTATTAAAAAAAATTTCAAGTTTACTATAATTACAGTATAATGTAATTAGTTTTTAATAATAATTTAGCAACAAAACATTACGGCTAATTTTGATTGTGATCTAAATAGTAGAACCGATTACTTATAATTCTGGTCAAATTGCAGATCATTTGGCCAAGTTCAGAGTTTTTTAATCCCTAATTTGGTCAAATGATCTGCAAATTTGACCAGAATTATAAGTAATCGGTTCTGCTTATTTAGATCACAATCAAAATTAGCCGTAATGATTAAAACATTATATATATATAATTTACTGTAGAGTGCATTGATTCTGCTGGTTTTATATTGATATTCTATATTAATTTAATATTAGATTATATTTTCTAATGCATTAACACCACCGTCGATTATTATTTGTTAAATTTAATCGATAATATTCAATTAATTGTTAGTGAAATGCATATCTGTGAATACGGGATATTCCACAGGATAAGCAAGACCAACTTGATTTGGTAGTTTACATTACATTCCTTTTTCAAAAGGGTGGGAGGAAAAATGGAACATATACATAGTAAATTTTTATTAAATATTTTTTTCAATCGGAAATTTTCGTCCTAACCTTGCTTGTCTTTATATTCGTTCATTTTTTCTTCGGAATTTTTCCGATCCTTACAATTTCTAATTTTAATTCCGCCCGGCATTAGCTCTCCGGCCAAAATCATATATGTATATTCCAAAAATTTTTTTTACTAAGAGAGAGAGGGGAGGTCAAAAGGGGGTAATGTAAACCACCAAATCAAATTGGTCTTGCCTAATAGTAAAATCACATTCAGTTTACTATTATTCTGTGAAAACCCCGTGTTCACAGATCATTTAGTAACTAGTTTATCCCATAGGTACGATGTAAAAACCCGTGCAGCACGTTATAAATTAAACTTTTTTTCCTCTCACTAGCAACTATTTATTAACCGTTAAATAAAGAAAAATAAAAAACAACAAAGCACAATTATTGTCACGGTCATTATGTGAATCATTGAGGACTAAGTAATTCAAAACTATATATGGTATCATATAAAAATTTTATTATTAATTTTTTGTGTAACATCAATGTTAAACTTTATTTTAATTTAACAAATATTGCCTTTTGTTATGAATATAATACATTAATTAAAGCAACTACATTAATAGTTTATTAAAATATTCAAAGCAATGTCAGGCTCGAATTGTAATTGTATTTCTTGAAGCAGCATTTTCGTATAATATTTCTTTTCGCCTTTATTTCATTTAATTCATTCGAATAATTGTGGGGATTTAGATTGCTTTGTTGACATTGAAATATTGGGATGTATTTTTAGGTCTAATTTGTTAAAAAAGATCTTCGAGTTGCTGTTGGTTAATTATAATGGAGTAGATTCAGGCATCTTTTAATTGAGATTGATGTTTGTATGATTTGTAAACCCTTTTTTTTTGATACAATAATTATAACAACACTTAAAACTAACGATTAGAAATCCAAATTTTGAATGGATCGATCAAAGATCCCTACAATGAGAGTTACAGAGCCAACTTTTATATTTAATTAAAAACATTTTTACTAGAAGTTTAAGTTTCATCCAGATTATTTAAACGACAAATGAAGGTAAAGTAAATTTAGAAAAAAATTTCGTTTTCAATATATAATATGAAAAGTGATTCTGTAACTTTGTTAGCGGATTGAGAAAGAGTTATTTGGCGTTGAAACCTTCTGCTAAAATAGAAATTGCAACCTACGCATCTAAAAAAAGATGCGCCAATTTTATATATTTATATGGGAACTTTTAAGAAGAGTTAACCAAGTGATTACCTCGAATTATCACCCTCGATATAATCACCTAGGAATTTTGATTGGCTATAAATGTAAACAAATGTTGTTTGTTTACTTATTTGTTCATGTGATGCTGACACAACAAAATGGCCGGCATTAAGCTAATCGATACAACATGGCCCGCGTTAGAGTTAGGTTAGTATTAGGGTATGGGCAGAATTAGTCACGTGCTTCTGTGGCTGTATAAAACTACCCAAGAACACCACCAAAAATTTTTCGGTAACAAATTCTTAAAAGTTTGTTAATATAAGGGTTAGGTTTGTATTTAAGCTTGATGTTAACAAAATATATAGTAAAATTGCTAGCACTAAAGATGGTTTCTTATGCGGATTTTTGAGTTATAGGTGAGTTTTAGCAAAAAAACAGTTGTTTTTAATTTTTCTGATCGTGTGATGTTAGTGTTACGTTACACCTTTTGGTCACGTTCTGAAAAATTTTTGGTGGTGTTCTTGGAGTAGTTGTCAGTATAAAGCAAGAAGACACTCGTATCCGATAGATTCCGAAATCATTGTTACACAAACTATTTATATGGACAATTGAAAATTTGATATATCATTGTAGTCTAAAAACTGGCAATTTCACTATCCGCTTACCCACAATAAGTTAAACTAAAGATATCTATGTTTATTAATAAAATTTCTTCGTTTAGAGAGTGTTTCTAGTAGAAAATCTTTTCTAATCTTTTCAATCGCTTTCCTCATGGAGTTTTCATAAGACTAAAGGTAAATGTTTGGTAATTGGCAGAGTTTATTGAGTTTCTACTACGTTTAAATTATTAAGCCAAATCTTAGATTTATAAATGTTAAAACACGAAGGTTATACTAATATAAGATTTTACACATTTATTAAATAGGCCAAGCAATATAAAGCTTTTAACAAGGGTTATTTCAGTATTTACTCGAGCAAAAAGCATATATACGCATTATTTATCAAATAGATAAGAAAACTAAGATCTCTAATATATAGTAAATATGTGACACAGTCTAATTGATAGTATAGTTCAAGAGTAGTAACATACAAAGCATGTTTTTGGTAAAGTATAATAGTTAAAAGATGGGTTAGAATTACTTTAGCTTTAAAAAAACTTCGCTTTCATTATTAATAAATTTATTTTGCTTCATTTTGTGTATCAAAAAATTTTAATTTGATTTGATTGGTCAATAGTCACACATGGATCTACATAAATTAGCCAATCACATAAATGTCACACAGGTTGAAATAAAGTATATCGGGGTCATATCGGCATTTTTCAATTCTGATATGAGTCCGATATTAAACTGAAGTTTGGCAGAAATCAGATACCGATAGGAGACCAATCAGGGTTATATCGGCATAAATACATATCGGTTAAACTGATAGCTCTATAAAATATCGATATAGCTATCGGATATAACGTTGATAGCTATTG